TATATATGTGTGTTAGGATACAAATAAAATAATAGATTTTTGTTTGGAATTTTTTGTGACAAATTATAGATTTATTGTCTCAAGTGCCGTAAAATATGATGGATTATGATAACAGCAACACACACATAGATAAGATAAATATCACATATTTACGCAGACCGCAGACTCTGTTTATCCGAATCGAGTCACTTCCGTCGACGTATGTGATGTAATAATCACGCGCGCAATCAACCGCTGCAATCTGCATGCAAATTAAACAGCAGAAAGGAACCTTGAAAAGAAAGAAGAAAAAAAAGATCTTTCAAATTCCCGGCTGGTCGAATCTTGGCCGGATCGTTCGCTCGTGCAAAATTTATCGATTATTCGCGTCTACGTCGTATATACGAGCGGAAAAACAGAACGTGAGATTTCTCCTCCTTCCCTTCTACCTATACTATTCCGACTCTGGACGTAACACGTGGCGTACGTCACGCGGCGCGGTGTTTCCGCATGCGTCACAAACGCGTGCGACTTGAAACACGACCTATCGCGACCGAGTCCGATCGCGGCCAATTGTTTGCGCGATTTGCGTCGGAATTACATTAGCCAACGATGATGTATATCCGCTGTTGATCAACAATGTTGTTTACGTGCTTAATTAATCATCGATGCAAATAAAGCGCCGGATACGATGAACGGGCGCATTCGCGGAATTATCTTTTGTCGCGCGAATCATTTTCTTTCTTCGGTGCGTGCACGATTTTAGAAAGACACGCGACAACAATAAGCGTGAATAAGCGTGTACTCAAATAGACGCATTCGCGCGCTTCGAGAAAATTTACGAGTCACCGAAATAATTCCGAGCTAATTTGGAAACGCAGAGATGTTTCGGGAGGTTGGCGGTCCCCTCATCGTAGGCGAAAGTGGCGAGTTTTGGAGCGCGTCCATCGAGATTTCGCGAAATTGCGATTTCAACGTACATCGCAACATTGCACAAACTTTGTTGGATCTTTGATTTTTCTACGTATATGTATATTTAATTTGGGTACGTATAATACGCGCGCGCGTATTCCTATGTAACAAAATAATTTTCAAATTTTATTTTGCGTTTTCTTTTTAAATGACACGTATTTTGGTGTTATTTGATGTCTATTTCTATTCGAATAAAAGCCTTGTGTAGTTGACTTCCGGGCGACGTGGAAAAATCGGCAGATCAGATTCCGAGCTTTCAGTAACATGAGTCACACAAAATCGTCGTACATGTAATTGAGCGAGCGACTGGAATTTCAGAAGATTGCTCAATTTCGACGTTTCGTGTCCCGATAATTCATTGCCCGTATCGCCAGTTGATACGTATCTATATTGACGAAACCGATTGATTTTCGGATTGTAATAGACCGGTTTACAATCCTTCAATCCTCAAGATTAGGCGAGCGTAAAACTCTGTATATAATTTTTTTGAAAATTTATGATAATTAAAAATTATAATTGTTGATCGATTTATTTTGTGGGATATATCATTAATTTAAAAATTCCGAGCTGCTGTATCTTTAAATATTCTTTTTCTCTATTAAAGTGAGAGACGTTATAATGATTGTTAATGCTATTCTTTACCGTAAGAATAATAAGTACGATGAGACAGCTACGGAAAAAAAATTAATGATTCACATTCCCGAAAAACAAGCAGCAACAAAGTTGCGTAATATCGGATTAAATAACGAGCGAGAGAGCATGCGTCATTCGGTGCGTGAATCGTCCGATTTCCATATCAAGATCCTAGAAATTTTTATGTTACTATTCCCTCTTCTCCGAATTTTCAAATTTTCAGCGTATAATTTGCAATCGGGGAAAATCGTGTCAGTAAACTCATCGATCGACTCGGTATCCGATACTCGGTGGTGTTGAATTTGTTTATTCGTAAAGTTCGAAGAAGAACACACACTCGATCTTTCCCTCTTCCTCCCTTCCCCCTTCTCTTTCTTTTCCCGGAGCATTATTGTTATTCAGCAACGAACGCGTAATGCACGTGTTCCGCGAAAACGCATGCGGCTTACATAATGGGTGCAACTGCATTCTAATGCGCTTCAGGACGTCTTATCACTTCGTATGTCACTTCTTTAGAATCTGAAGTTGCATAATTATGAGATGAGATAAGCCATTTTATCGCTAGAATTTTGTTTTTCATGCTACATCAATTATGGAATAATAATAATATGCTTGTAAAATAAAAGAAAGTGTATAATAAAAGTAGCTGTATAAAAAAAATTTAAACTTTTTTACGTAAAATATATTGTCCATTGTGGCGCAAATAAACTAGCAAGTGTAAAAAATTGTTCGTAAAATATAAAAAAAAAAAAAATATATATATAT